AGATTGCACCTTATGCTGAAGACAGACAGGCGTTTAACCCATTGGTGCCGGGTATGACGTGTACGTATATGCCCACCGTGAGTACTTGTTTGATTGTTTTTACGCATAGATGGCAACACTTGTACTAAATCACCAATGAGCTAACTACGACCACCGCCCGTCTCGCCCGTTTACCCGTTTCTTTGATTTACGAAATATTTTACGTTATCTTATTTTGCTGTTACTAATGTTAAAAAAACATTATAAAAATTATAATGTTTATGGTAAAAATAACACCATCGATTTTCATAGCGCTAGTGAAAAATACGCTTTTCCCGCCATTTCAAATCAGGCGCTAGCAGAGCCATCTATCGGCAGACAATTCACGAAAAACATAGAAAGTGGGCACAGCATTTTCCCCATTTTTTGTTCAATTTCCCCGGCGGCATTGGGTTAACCCATTTCCTCCGGGAAAAATGAACACAAAATGAGGAAAATACTGTACTAATTCTTTATATATTTTTTTAAATATCTCTGTATATAGATGGCATTGCTAGTCCTGATTTCACCTTTCCTTGAATTGGTGGGAAAAACGTATTCTTACTAGTGCTATAAATATAGATGGTGTTATTTTTAACAGCAAATTAGGATAAAATTAAATATTTTCGTAAATCGATGAAAAGGGTGAACGGGCGAGACAGGCAGTACTCGTAATTGGCTCATTGGATACTTAGTACAAGTGTAGCCATCTATGTGTAAAAACAATCGAACAAGTCGACTCACAGTGGGCATGGCATGTACGTACATGCCATCCCTGGCGACAGTGGGTTAAGTAAAAGGGGAAAAATAATATAAACACCAGTTCGTTCGTGTAACTGAATGTACCGGGAAATATTTAAAGATTGAATTTGGCTTCTTCTTTTTTTTTTTTTTTTTTTTTTTTTTTTTTGAGTTGTTTTATTTATCTATTATTTATTAGGTGAGATTTTATTTATTTATTTTTTATTAGGTGAAATTTTATTTTATATTATATATATATTTATTAGATTTGGTTAGATTTGATTTGATTTAATTTTATCTGATTTGATTTGACTGCATTAAAATAGACTTGATTTGATCCAATTGGATTTGATTCGTTAAGGGATGTTTTTTTTTCGTATTATTATTTTTTATGTGAGTTTCCTTTCCTTTGAGATATGCGTATGTTTTATTTATTTATTTATTTTTTAAAGAATGTTATGAAAGTCGGTTATTGGCAGTAAACGGAATAAGTTGGGTGACAATTATAATATATATATCTGTGTGTGTGTGTGTGTGTGTGTGTGTATGTATGTGTGTGTGTGTGTGTGTGTGTGTGTGTGTGTGTGTGTGTGTGATATATGTATATATATATATATATATATATATATATATATATATATATGTATATATAGATAGATAGATATATAGATATATAGATATATATAATGTATTATAGATAGATAGATATGTATGTATTTATATATGTGTGTATTTATACAATTTCGGCATTTTACTTGTACACATCTGAATTTGGTTTCATTTCGAAAGACTACAACAATCTGCGAAGTATACTACTACATAACGAAAAAATTAAGAAAGAAGTCTCTGTTATGATTATAAGGAATTATAGTAAAATATTATCCCACACCCATTAGCATTGATATACATAGAAGCTCATTTCTGCCGCAGATTATCACCAGCTTAATTACAGCGAGCGTTTTATAAGTGCCTGATCCATGATTTTTAGTTGTTTTTGTTTACTTATTTGTTGGTATATTTATTTATTTGTTTGTTTGTTTATTTTTTTACTGGCTGTTTTATTGTCACGTTGCGCCATCTGTTGGCCGGCGGAACAGGTAGTCGAGGATTCAGACGTTTTTCTGTGTACCGGTACTTTGTTTTCCTGCTCTTTTTATTTATTTTTCTCTTCTTTTTCATGTATTTTCCATTATGTATTTATTATTATTTTTTTTTTTATTGATTTATCTTTACTTCACTATGGCTTCGAACATTTCCCTTGTCTTGACTGGCATTCTTAATTTTGTATGTTAAGTACTTTTAGGTTATGCCTTCCAATCACAACATTTATCTTAACTTTTCGACTTTTAGAAAATACGTAGATCATAGCAGTCTCACTTTCCCTCATTTTCATCTCACTTTCCCTTCACTTTGAGCTCACTTTCCCCTCACTTTCAGCTCACTTTCCCTTCACTTTCAGCTCACTTTCCCCTTACTTTGAGCTCACTTTCTGCTCACTTTCCCTTCACTTTCAGCTCACTTTCCCCTCACTTTCAGCTCACTTTCTGCTCACTTTCAGCTCACTTTCCCCTTCCGTTTCAGCTCCCTGGCGTCCTGGACGAGGCGGACGAGAGCGGCGACATGGCGCTCGACCTGGCGCTGCTGGGGCGGCAGCACAGCATCGCCGACACGCTGCTGAAGCACGGCGCCTCCGTCACCACCACCGACCCCACGGGCGCCTCGCTCCTGCACAGGGCCGTCA